TTTAAAATTAGTTAATAACAATTAATATGTAAAAAGTATAATTTTTTCCCAAAAATACCCTCATTAATAAGGAGAGGAGAGCATGAGAGAGAACCATTAAATTATTAAAAGAAAGAGAAGTGGAAGGGAGAGAGAGTGTGAGTTGGAGATAATAAATATGGGTAAAATAGTAAATCAACACAAAAAAGTAGAGACAACTTGTAAGTGTCTCTTATATATAGGAACATGCCATAAGCATCAAATGTCTCTTATAATAAGGAACAGATGGAGTATCACTTATAAAGGGATTTTTGTCATTTTTAATGCTTTATTTCTAATTCTATCTCTGATTCTAATTATAAGAGTCAGTTGACTGATCTGAGGAGATTAAGAAAGTAAGTTGAGTTAGTTATTTATCTTATGTGTTGTCTTTCTAAAATATTCTTATTAATCAAGTGTATTGACTAGAATTATAATTATTAGAAGGACTATCTTGAAAAAAATTAAGTAAATATAAGAGACAAAATGGATTGGGGTATTATATTTAGAACTAAAATAAAATTCAAACTAGGTCTTATATTAATGACAGGAGGTAGTATTAAATAAGGAAGATAAATGTAAAAATAAAAAGAGAAGAAATAAGAGGAAAAAATATACTAATTATTTAATAAGAATAAAAATAAAAAATTTTATGTATTTAATAATTTTCTTAATGTGTGAGAAATTATTATCAGTAATCCAGTGCAGTTTTCTATCCAGACCACTAATGTAGCGCCAGCTGGAATTATTCTCCGATTTTCTCGAAGAGTTCTCCATATGCTAAACCCAATGAATCACACACGTCCGGTCCATGGTAAAGGAATCTCGAAATCAATTTATTTTGTCGCTGTCGGTCACAATCTAAGAAATATTTTTACAAAAAAAATTTGTCTCCATTTACGGTATACTTTTTTTTTTTTGGACGGACTCCATTTACGGTATACTAAAGTGTCTCCATTTGAATAATACCGCCCACTTTTTGTGATTTGCGGGGATTCACCTTCTATTCTGGGATTCCAGGGTCGATTCGTCACTATCTTCTCCTCCAGGTCCGTAATTTATTTCTTTCTCCTCAATCTGTTTGCCCTTTCCTCAACGTCATTGCCCGCTTCCGATTCCGTCACTTCTCCTTGTAAAATTGATTATGATGATGAATCGATCTCTGGAATCGCGAGAATTCGTTGTGGACTAGGGTGTTCTTTTTTTCCCTTTTCTTCTTTTTTTTTTTGGGGGGGGGGTGTTCCTTGGTCATTAGAAATGGTTTTGATTCGGAAATACTACTATGACAACTAGCTTTTAAGCTCAAATGTTTTTGATAATATGAACGTGCATCTGTATGAATGTATGTGTATATGAAGGCTGTTATTTACAATCGGTTACGCTGGCTTTTGTAGGAATCTGAAGGTGATGGCAAGTGGGTTTGAGGAATCAACAAGCAGGTCGCCCCCAAGCCCTTCCTGCTCCAGCAACAGTAACAATGACACGGGCAGTTTTGAATGCAATATTTGCTTTGACTTGGCACAAGATCCTATAATTACTTTATGTGGTCATCTTTTCTGCTGGCCTTGTCTTTACAAATGGCTTCACTTTCATTCTCAATCACGAGAATGCCCAGTGTGCAAGGCCCTAGTTGAGGAGAAAAAGTTGGTCCCCTTGTATGGGAGAGGAAAGACATCAACGGACCCGAGATCAAAATCTTTTCCATGCGATAATATCCCTCATCGGCCAGCTGGTCAGAGACCTGAAACTGCCCCTTCACGAGAACCAAATCATTTTCCTCAACATGGATTTGGATTTATGGGTGGGTTGGGAGGGTTTTCCCCAATGGCAACAGCAAGATTTGGGAATTTCACATTGTCAGCAGCATTTGGTGGTTTTATACCATCCTTATTTAACTTCCAGTTGCATGGGTTTCATGGTGGGGCCTTGTATAGTGGAGCAGCTGGTTTTCCTTTTGGATATGCTACTTCATTTCATGGTGGCCATGCACATGGGCACCCTCAGTATGCAGGTCAAGGACAACAAGATTACTACCTGAAGAGGCTGCTTCTGTTTGTTGTCTTTTGTGTCGTTCTTGCGTTTATTTGGCAATAGATTGGATAGAGCTGAGAGCCTGAGACTGCTAAAAGATAATTAGTATTTCTCACACCTTTTGTGTGTGTGTGTGTTTTCCTGGTGACGAAGGAAATTGTTTATATCATACTTTCTTATTACTCTTGTAGTACTTTCGTTTTGAAAAATCTGTGAGACTTCATGCTTTTCTTGTGAAAATATCTAGAGTCCTAAGCAAGACGTCAGTTGCGGATGTGCCCTCTGTACACACTAATCAGGAGCTACTTTTTAAATCCACGAACTTTTGTGGTTTGGGGTTTTTACTCAGTCATTTTTACACTATCATTCGAGATGAATTTTCAAGCTTTATGTACTCATCACGTTGCTTGAATTTTAGAAGTACCCATTTATTTCGTTGCAATGGTTTGGAAGACAGAAAAATATTGGTGATAAGTACTGCGGCAATTATGTTTCTTGCGATAGTCTAGATTGCTTGTTTCACTTCAAATGTTGACAGTTGGATGACATGTGGAATCAGGCACCTTTGTTACTCGTTCTTTTAGCTTTTATAGTTATTTTTTCTCCAAATCCTTGGGGGTGGTTGGGTTGCTAGAGAGTTGAGGGGTTTTAATTTCTCAGTCTATTGTGAGCTGCTGCTTCTGCTTTATGGCCTTTGGACTCTGATTATATCAAATGATTATCATCGTTCATGATGGAAATACTCGAACTCTTGTTTTCTATAGAATTTTGTTCGTATTCTTGTTTAAATGCGATATAAAGCACTAACCTTGTGATTGTTAGTGTTCTTGATGAGCTTTCGAGGGGCTAGACTACGGTGACCAGAAACCCAGTGGGAAAAGAAACCCAGGTAAGTTGATTAGTGCGGTTCTCCCCATAGTCAGGCTGGCCTTGGTCACCACGTCTCAGGCGAATACGACCAGACGCTAGTGTAGTCATCAAACCCAGCCCAAATTTTGCCCAGTGTCAATTCCGCATTAATACGGTTAGGGCCGGGCCTCAGGCCCAAAGAACTTAGCTGAGGCGTTGATTGAACTGGCACATGGGCCAGGGTAATCCTCTGTTTTGTCCGGCAATGCACACCCCACCGGCGACGGCTTATTAATAAAGTTAAGTATTTTTAAAAAAGTTCAGTATTTGATTATTATGGGGTTAGTGTAATTTCCAATTTGATAATGACTATGTAATTTTGTCAACCAGCATGAAAACAAAAGCTGTTTTGTTCAATAATAGGTGTAGAATTGGGATCAGAGTGAGACGGGTTGCAAGCCAGGAATAATAATTTAGAAGTCTGCCATATGTAGCACATGGCTTGTGTAGGTAGCGGAAGTACTCTATTCCGCTGTGGGCCCACTCACCAGAACCCTCCCCCTCTCGCCTTCCGCATCTGTTTGATTGCTTTCATTCTTTGCCCCGCTTTGCGGTGTGGGATAAGTCCTTGTATTGGATACTTATAATTCTGTTTTGGAATCATATATTGGTACATGAACGAAGATTGAGAGCTGTGGAGGTTTGTAAATGCTGGTAATAAAAGAGAGTTAAATGGGAGAGTTGATCATCGTGGGATTTAAAAAATAGGTGTTTACTTGGACTGGTGTGAGAAGTGACTTATTCTATTATGTGTTTGGGAATGAGGCTGCCAAAATGGACTGAGAGTCTGAAACCGACATGGAATATTAATTAGTGTGAAGGGGTGCCAACTGTATACCGTATAGATTCCGTATGTAGACAGTTCCATTTTAATTTCTAATTAATGTGACTGCATGTGCACCCCCCCCCCTCTCTTTTAAGATGCCCCCTCACCCCCCATCCTTTTCCCCCTTTTCTTCTCCCTCTCAATTTCGTATCTTATTTTACTCTCCTGGTCCTTTTTTTATCGTAGAAAGAAGATATTTTTTTGTTTATTTATAAAGTATTGAGAAAATGTTTTACATAGATGTACAATTTTACGTTTAATTTATTATTGTGTTGACTTTATTTACATAAGATATAATGTATATTAAATATAGATAAAGTTGGAAAGTTATTAAATTTTAAATGAGAGTTAATGAAATTAAGGTTTTTCTTGAACTGTGTGAAACATTGAAAGTGACTTCTAAATAGGATGATGATAATATATATTTATATCATACCACCGACTCTGTTTTCATACTACTTCGAGTTATATTTATTAGATCTTTTAATCAAACTGCACAAATTAAAAAGAAGAAATAAAATGAGTTTATATTTTTATTTTGTCAAATATTGTCATGGCATTTTTAAAATAGTACCTTCATTACACTTAAACTCTGTGCCCAGTATATTTCTTTTAAGTAACATGGAGAAGATTATGATCTTGAAAAACGTGTTTCGGGGAAAAAAATATTAGTAAATGATTATGTATTAAAGACAAAAATTTTCTTAAGCCAGTCTTACACATAGCAGAGAAAATAGTAATAAATTTTCACCCCACACCTCCCCAGAAAAATTCATTCTGAATAGTGCCATATTTTCTAGAGTCTACTTGTCCTTTTTGACATATTGGATATACTTATTTATGATTAATAACTTCTATATATTAATTATATGTGGAAAAGAGATCTAGAATACGATTATAAACAACTTCTCAGATTTATAAAATAAAAAATAGATATACTAGAAAAAATTTATTTTAACTCACGTAAAATATATTTCTAAATAATTCTAAGCATGATTTCAAACGAGCGTCTACTCCTTGAACACCTTTTTGTTTCTTTGGTTTACGTTTTCGTGATGTTTTGAACATGGCGACCCTGAGACAACGAGAAGAAAAGTTTATGGGACGGTTCCTGATCTCATTATCCTTTCACAAAATATACAAATATTACGATGGCATGTCCTCCGAAAATTAGTACATGAGCTGTACGTTATTTTCAGAAACAACCAAATTAAACGCTGGAAAGAACATAAAACAAGAGGCAAGGGAAACCACACAGAAATAAGCAAGACGAAGGCGTGACCTCATCTTCAAAGAATAGTAGAATACGGTTACTACTAAACAATAGTTGAATTGTTAATGAGGCTCGCAGCATGCCAAACGTGATAAAAATAAAATAAACTAGCAAGCCATTTTTCTATGTTAACTCCTGAATTTTAAGCAGCAATGAACTGATATTAATTTTTTTTTAAGAAATATAGTTTAAAATTCATATTTGTAATAAAAATAACGCTAATATTTTTTTGTTGGTGTTTTAATTTGCATTTAGCTTTGCAACGCATATTCATCTATACCGCAAAAATATTGATTTAATTAGCATCTTTCGAAAAACATTGTACTTAATTTGTCAAAAAATATAATAAATTATAATTCTCAATTCATTTCATTCCTTGCATTTTATTGAAAGAACGAAGAGTCTGATTTTTAATAAATAGAGTACTGTACATTCTTTTATCAAAAATTATACTTCAAACCTACACTCTCATCACATTGGGGGAAAAAAGAAGAAGAAGAAGATAAATGTTTGGATTATAAGACCCTGATAAATGTCTAATTTTTTTTTTTTCATGTGTGGTTAGGTTGTCTCGTAGATAGTGGTAGGATGGATGCTAACATTATGTAACTACACAATTTAAATTGTTGGGTCCATGTGGAAGGAGTCAAGTTAACCATATTATTTTACATTAGATTTCATAAACAAACCATATTATTTCATAAGGATGTGAAGTCTACTTACGCCGACGGTTTGGTGGGCCATTGCTTGAATGGCTCCGTAAGTAAAAGTTGCCTGTTGCCTGTACTCGTGTTAATTTAAGTTTGAGTTTGAGTCAATACATAAATTATTCATCCGATCCTAAATATAAAATTTATTTTACAGTATAAATTGTACTGCAAAATAAATTTTATATTTAAGACCCGGTGAGTATATATATCGAGTCGCATTTATTTTCAAGGGCACATGGCAAATGCCAAGAGAAGCTCGATTTTACAAGCTTACTTTAAGGGCATATAAGCACGACATGATACCAACTGGTCATGTTCGGGCAACCATATATATAATTCACAAATAAAGGCCATGTAATCAATGAGGGTTCATTTTAAATTAATGACCAGTCTTCTTATTTTATTATGCCCACGGCCAAAGACTCCTCGACATCTGCCTTCACTACGAAGGGATGGAGTTTTCAACCACAAGAAAAGGCAGAATCATTAATATAAATACAGTAACGCTAGGAATAATTAATGTTATTTACCACAATCATCTCAACCCAGGCATATTCTAGTATTGTGACTGTGAGAGAGTTGTGAATTTGTGATGAAAATGTGGCGTAAAGTATAGAAAATTTCAAATCTGAACTCTGCTTAAAGGCAGTCTTATTTGCTCGTGTGTGGAATTATTAGTACTAGGAAGAGTAAAGAGAATGAGGCAGAAACTGGGGGGACACCATTAAGTGTGGGGGATATGCATGAACTGATGAGAATTGGACTGGGGTGGCGGTAGAAGGTAGCAATTAGATTTGGTGAGGGGGCGTTCTCAGTATATGAACATACAATTTTATCAAAATGAATAAATATAGGGAGAGATTTGGAAGGGAAGATTCGGTGGCTGAAACTTGGGTTTCAGGTGAGGATGGGATGGTTCACCATGTAGCAGAAGCAGAGAAGGGGGCTGAACACGAACCATTAACAAACACAAGGACGTATCTTGAGAGATGAATCCCCCAAAAAAGCCGTAGCACCAACGCTAGCTCTTTGACACTCCGCACTCTTCCTGTCACCTTCCCTTTGCCATCAAGTGCCGACATTTGATTGCTTCCTTTTATGACTTGAACACATATGCATTCCCATTATTGCGTCTTTCTTTGATCTTACATGCCAACATTTCATCCTTTTTAACCCGCGTTACTTATATATGGAAAATGAATAATAAGAGTGAGTCAGTCATTTCATTCTGTGGAAAGTACAGTGCAGATATTTCATACTTTAATTTTCAACGAGAAGGAGGGGGAATGGGGCATGTAAGGAGTAGTAAAGAGGGAGCGTTAATAATGTACAAGGTACATGGCCCCCGTGGGATGAATTTATGAGCATGTAATTGATTGCCTCATACAATGAGAATGGAGAGACTTCATCTCTCACACAAAAAGGGTCCCATGCTGCAGAATGCTAATCATGTCTTCCCTCTCAATTCTGAACTGTACCTAATTCTTCACTCTGCAGCCTGCCCTCCTCCATCCTTCTTCTCTCTCTCTCTCTGCCTTTTTCTATTTTCCTTTTTTCAAATAATTTATCATTTACTTACCCCCAAGAAAGCGTGTTTGAAACCTCACTCTCCAATTATAAGCCAACTCATAGATCCCCCCTCTCCCAATTCAAACTTCAACCTCAATCCCTCGTATCTCTCTCTCTCTCTCTCACCTTTGTACGCCAATGCCAATTCCAAATCCAACCTTCCTATTCCTTATCGCTCTCTTGCTCTTCCCCTGTTTGTCTTCCTCCACCCCCCACAATGCCGCAAAAGATACTTCCGCTTTCACTCAACAGTTCAAAGAAGCTCCCCAGTTTTACAATTCCCCCGACTGCAAATCCATCGCCGCCGATGACGACGATGACTATACCTGCTCCGATGACGTTGTCCATATTGCCATGACTCTCGACACCACCTACATTCGAGGCTCCATGGCAGCCATCCTCTCCGTCCTTCAGCACTCTTCCTGCCCGCAAAACGTCTTCTTTCACTTCGTCTGTTCCTCTAGCCCCTCCCTTCTTCGTTCTGCCATCTCCAATTCCTTCCCTTATCTTCAATTTCGACTCTACAACTTCGTCGACTCCACCGTCTCCGGCCTCATCTCCACCTCCATTCGCTCCGCCCTCGACTGCCCCCTCAACTACGCTCGCAGTTACCTGGCCAACCTTCTTCCGCTCTGCGTCCGGCGAGTGGTGTACCTGGATTCTGACCTGCTTCTCGTGGATGACATCGCGAAACTAGCCGCCACGCCACTGGGAGATAACACAGTTCTGGCAGCCCCTGAATACTGCAACGCCAATTTCACCTCCTATTTCACGCCCACATTTTGGTCCAATCCCTCCTTGTCGCTCACCTTTGCGGATAGAAAAGCTTGTTATTTCAATACAGGGGTGATGGTCATTGATCTGGAGCGGTGGCGAGCAGGGGATTACACGACGAAGATCGAGGAATGGATGGAACTACAGAAGAGGATGAGAATCTACGACCTGGGTTCGTTGCCTCCGTTTCTGCTCGTTTTTGCGGGAAAAATAGCTCCGGTGGATCACCGTTGGAACCAACACGGTCTCGGCGGAGACAACCTCCGTGGGCTTTGTAGAGATCTGCATCCTGGTCCCGTGAGTCTATTGCATTGGAGTGGGAAAGGCAAGCCATGGGCTCGATTGGACGCTAACAGGCCTTGCCCTTTAGATGCACTCTGGGCACCTTACGATCTATTGCAGACTCCATTTGCTTTGGATTCTTGAAGCTTCGATTCTTGTGCACTTTACGATCTACGCGGGCTCGATCGAGAGGGTAAAAGAAACCAACAGTGCAATACATGAAGGAGGGAGAAAAATAGTTGGTTTTTTGTGGATTACGTAATGCACGGCACAGATACGAAGAGCTCATCATCATCGATCAGCCACAAGTAATGAAGATGAGTGGGGTTCATCATCAGTTTTCCAGTGAGGGATCTAAGTGAGATGATTGGATCAAATAACAATGTATAGCAAAAGAGTTGCGTTTTACGGATGCGAGAGTTCAGGAACTATTATTTTTCGTATCGAAATTGTAATAATGAAGAGTTTGTAAAGTTTTTTTTTTTTTGGTATGAACAATGCCAAATCATATGCTCCTGTTCTTTTCGTTCCATTTTCCTCTTTGTTTGCTGTGAGATTAATGATTCGATCTTAATTTGGGTTTTCTTGGCCCGAATTATGTGTTCATACGGAGGCAAGCTTTATTCGAGGAATGAAGTGAGGTCTAAGCAAGGCCATTGATTTAAAGTGCTACCAAGTCGGTTTTTTCTGCGGAGAGCGAAATGAAGCAGAGCCCACACTTAGCTTTAATAAGGAAACACACCCACGTAACGTAAGAGTGGACAGCAGACAGGTCATGAGGAAGTTTGATCAAATTTTCATAATCCTCCGCGATACGTATTTGACCCAGTTTGATTGGGTACATTTAGCGACACGTCTTCAGTACCATGTTATTCCATTCTCTTAACACCTTACATATATAATAAAATTAATCATTTCTTTCACCTTTTTTTTTTTAAAACTTTTGTCAATAAAACTGATTAACTATTTGGAAAAATATTTATTTTTGGGGTTCAGTTTTATGATTTATCCATTATGTATGTATAAAAACAGTATTCGTTTTATATTCCTTTTTAATATATAAATAGTATTTTTTATTCCATGTTATTATTGTCTAGTACAAACATCATTTTAGAATAATGATAAAGGGTTACATAATATATTACTATTTCTGAAATATTTTTTAAATTTGAAATTCATACTTACACATTGTTTAAAAAAAAAAAAATTAGAGAGTCACACACTAACAGCCTAAGATTATAAGTGATATTGAATTCATAACCTTTTTACTTACATGCAAGTTTTTATGTCATTAGATTATAAGGGTCATTGGCCGCATTTTTTTTTTTTTTGGTCTGGGGAATACGTTATACACAGGAAGTTGCGGGAAAATATATGTTACTAGAAATTCTGAATGTTGGTTTACTCAGATTTTTTTTGGGGGGGGGGGAGGGGACATGGATAAACCAAAAGAACGCATCGAGAGGAGGATCTAAAGAATAAAATTACCGTTTTAAACTGTGGAAGGATGAACTTTTTAATGTCGTGCATGCACAATATAACGAGGAAGCAAGAGGGGGAAGAGAGAGACCTGGCTAGTTACGTTATACAAGAAGTTTTCATAGCGCAATTAAAGTCCTGTTCATTCCCTTTTCTGCCAATGATGTACAAGTTGACTTCCTTCTCTGTACTGGTGCCAAATTGCAAGATTAACACTGATTTAGGAACCCTACTTAATCCTCCCAATATCTTCATCATTTCCTTGCCCCACTTTCCGCCGTGGCATCAGTAATCCAAAGTACAGTGAATATAAAATATCTTTCAATTTCAACGCGTACGTCATTAATGCCAAGGAAGTTGCATCGATCGGGATTCGGGAGATCTATACTGATGAGAGCAATCCGCTATGTAATATTTGCTACTTCCTTCACAATTATGAGCTGAGGATAATGTTATGAAGATTCCTTTATGACGACCAACCCCCCCCCCCCAAAAAAAAAAACTGTCACCCGAAACTATTGATGAAAAATGAAATTTGAAAAATTAAAACTGAACTACTCAATAATTTGATTCCTCTTACTTTATTAGATTATTTTTTCTGCTTTTCAGTGTTTGTGTAGACAGATGTGGTTGGAAAGCAATTAATAATTAGTAAATGTATGTGACGTCCAATAGTGAATTGAGTGACGACTGAACAAAAAACAGGTGTCGAAGGTTAGGTACGGAAAAAAACAAATGACACCTATGGCATTTAGAAATTAACTGAGGGTGAGAGATTATTTTACACACCTTAGTATGAATGACCTGGCTATTTTTCCATTTAAAAACCTCGTTTTTCTAAAAACTGCTTTTATTGAACGATATCTTTGGGGAAAAAAAAGATGTACATAAAATAACCATTCTACTACCTTCAGTTATTAATATAAAAAACTTTGATTTTTAATTTAGTCATAAATATAAGATTCTAATCCACTTTATCTCTCATATTCATCTATTTTTTTAAATTAGTTCTTATAGTATTAATAGTTCTAGTTACTACTTTTAGAAAAAATCACTATTTATTATAAATACCTAACATAATTAATTTTTTCAATTTACTCAAATTAGTTTATTAATTTTTATATTAAAAGACTGGAATATGTGAGAAATATTCAAATCTTAAAAGAATCAGAGTGTCCCCCGTATGTTTGGACCCAAAAAAAAAAAGTGTCCCCTGTACGAAGCGCAAATGGGCGGGAGCGCCTGCATCTTGTTGCTTTGTTGACTTTTATTTTTGCGTTTCCCTTTATAATTCTTAAGAAGTAAGAAAGCCAGCTAACAATGGCAGCAAGCGAATGACAAATTAAATTCACAATTTACATTTACAAATTAAAATAAAAACGCTAGCATGATAACTATTTCTAGCTGGTATAATTATACGGCAACAATGTTAATTCTCACTACTTTCTCTAGTTTTCATATTACAAAGCATCTTCAACTGTTTTATCAGAATCCAAGCAGATAAAATAAAATTATGAAGGTATATAATGCATATGCTTCAATTTAAGGTGGCGAGATTTTGGGGGAAAAAATTAAGGTGATGATAAGGAATAAATGGTTAATCCATGGGGGGTTTCAAAACTGAATAATGCCATGATCATTGGGTTGCGATTTGCCGAGCTGGGTGATCTTTCAATACACACACACACACACACACACGGGAATGGAATTAATTGGATGTTAAATTATGTGATTAGCAGAAAGCAATGGCCAACAATAATCACGTGTTTTTTCCAATGTGTGTCGGCAAAGTAAGAAGGGAGACGCGTGGCAAGCAGTAAGTGAGGTAAGAAGCCGTACTTATGATGTTTTGGAAAAGCATAAATGGATCCTGTTGCTTGGAACTCCCGGTTTAGTTCAACCCGTCAGCTAAAAAACAAAACACTGCTACTCTCTCGGCTTCCCGCTTCACCCCTCTCATGCCTCTTTGCCTCTTTAATTATTCGCGTGGGACATCTCGCACTACTCATCCCTGCAATTTTCAGGTGCCGGATGTACTACATTGCATAGGACTCCCAAAATCCTATCATGTTTCATCCGTCCTTTTCCTTATTTTTCCTCAGTTGTTACTGCCTGTGTATGTTCTTTAACGATGCTGTTAATTACTACTGTATGTTTGCCTACTCAAATTCTCACGATGGCCTTCCAATGATGATCCGGGTCCCTATAATGCAGATCTGTATGATTCTGCAAGAAGGAAAGGAACACTTTTGATGAGCCATAATTGAAAGAACCTAATTTCCGTGCACCTAGGGCATATCTGTGATGAAACGATACGATCGAGCTTGTTCCTGCTCGGCTTTACACGTATGGACCTTTGACAAAGTAGTACCTCATGATTTGAAGGACCACCTCGTGGTTCATAGTATTCAGTAAAGACTAATGAGCTTAAAGTTTGCTGTCATGTATAAATCTGCTCGTCAGTGGACCTGCATCATCGTTTACAACCACTTTTCTAACTTTCATGCAACGACGGTTCCATCTCATTTGCATTACTTTCTATTAATTTCTATATTTAGACCCCTTTCATAAGAATGCTAATTTCTCGGTCCCCCCCATCTTATCAAGCAACATTAATTTTCTCCTACGTAAACCAAAGCCAAATGCTTCGTTTTTTGGGTCATTACTTCTTTGATTTCTTCATTCTATCAAATTCTCCAGGGGGAAAAAAGTTCGCACTAGTCACTTTTCTTTTATCTCTCTTTTTAATACCTCCATCCAATGACCCCAAAAAGCCCCTATACTCGATTATCGAGAGGGAGAAAAAGGAGTTGTTCGTACTTGCAACTGTTTTCCAATATGCTGAGCTGTGCAACGCGGATGGAGATATGACTTTCAAAGCAAAATGAGGGGGAAAAAAGGAACAGAAAAAGAATTCAAAAAAGATGCGCAAAGCGAAGTCCTTTGTTTGGGAATATGAAAGCCGTCCAATTGAACTGGTCCATGGTCCCCCTCGTAATGTATAATTTTAAAAAGTCATACATTGGATTATGCCGGATTGCCAGCGCATAGAACATGATAACATGATATATGGTATATGTTGAACATGATAACATGATATATGTTACATATAAGGGAAGCAACCCGATCTTATACAATCACACGATAATTAAACGTAGAGAATGCATTTGAAGAGATTCAGAGAGCAAAAAAACAAATTGGAGCAATGGATTCCGTACCTAATTATAAAATGTAAACCTCTTGTACATAATCACATTCTTTTTATATCAGACAGTCTCTCTAAATGCACTCTTGATATATGCACTATTGATAAGCAAAGCTGAACATGGGATGTGCAATTTTCCATCAGCAGCTAACCTGAATAGCAAGTCAGCATCTTGTAATATTTATGCAACGGTTGAACTTCTGTGAGACATTGGCATATATATGTTGCTTGCATTGCAAAAAAATACAACAGTTATTAATTAATTTGGTCTTTGACCAATTCTATTTATGATTCGTGAAATCCCATGATCAGTTGTGTGTGGCCACGATTCCAGTCTCTGATATTGACGACAATGGATATCTTGATTTTTATGAATATCAGCCGATGTTTTCCGTGCTTTCTATGTCCTTCTCTCCCTGTCCTTGTTTTTAACAGAGCAGAGTCTTGTAAGAGACAGAGTTTGGTGTTCTGATGTTTAGTAGTTTTGATTTACTATCATAAAACTACTGGAAAGGGGCTCTATGGAAATTGCCGTTTTGCTCATGGAAGTTCATACTTAGCTTGGATCCACCCATTAGATGATTTGAATTGAAATGGTCTAATGAACTGAGCAGCATTTATGGGCTTTTAGTTTTCTATCATTCTTGTTCTGATAGTCGATCTCCAGAAGAACTAAAAACAATGAGCCTTCAGGCCCATTCCTTTCTGGACATGATCAGCTTTTTACTTGACGAAGAATTCTCCCCTGAAAATACCAATCAATTAAAGGGATTCGAGATGCACATTAGTCCATGAACAAGTCTCTATGATAAGGTAATATATTTATGTCCCCCTTGCGCTATAATATAAAAAGGTGCGCTTTCAATGAATACCTTCTTCTTATCGTGTTAAAGTCACAATCAAAACAATAAAAACAACTTTCTTAAATGGGACAACACACTAATTTCTTCTTGATATGTATTAAAAAATTAGTTTAATAAAATGAACTTAAAAGAATAGAAGATGCCTCAAGAATCGTAACCCATATCTGTTTCGATTGAGTTTTTTTGTTTACGCGTACCGACACGCATCCAGTTCCTCAACCCGGCCGGCTTGGATGCAGGACTTTGCGTGTAAGCAGTTGAAAGATGTGATTGATTACAGGATTCTGTCATTTTCCCTCCGATGTATTCGTCTTTAAGGCCACTTCCACTCTCTTGTAGTATTTCGATTCTTTTCACATTATTACTCATAACATCTCTGTTTTTTCAGTTACTTCCTGTAAATAAATTCATAAACACTAGGTTTATTCATGATGATAAATTCATTGGGCCCCTGGATTTAATTATTTGCCTGTATTTTTTCACACTGCCCTGTAAATTCTTGAAGGCTTGTTCAAACCCAGGTTGGTGGACAACAAAATGATGACAAATCAACATAAACTAAGAAAACTATAATAAATCGTGAATAATATAGCACAACCCCTTAACTACACCTAGTGTACTAATGCATGGTGTCCATATCTACTTGCCACTGAAGTCAAACTCCAATGGGTCGCAACAAGAAAGCGCCATTCAAAATGACATATTTGTGCATTGATTTTGCGCATAAAATAATTAATTTTCTTCTGTATACTTTTTGTCTTGCATCATAATATTTTAAGAGACCAAAAACCGAGTCAGGTCTTTCATTTGTATCTGTATTATCGCTCTTTGTAAATCATATAACGGACCTAGTACGCGAAACTGCGGGCCAGGTAGGAGTATTATTATACTGCTTCGAATTGGTCAGCAAAATTTTGACATCACTTGTATATGTATGTATATGCCTATAATATATCTGAAATTATCATACAAATGGTCAAGCTTCCCATCTAACGAGTAATCATCTTCGAAAGAATGACAAAGTTTCTCATACCTCTCTTCATTCTGTACTTTGTGTCTTTCAATGCTAGAGCAGAGCAGAATTACTCAGGAAATTCAGCGCTCAACTGCTCCATCAACGATAAAAACGGGCCTTCCTCTGCTTTCCTTTATACCTGTAATGGCCTGAGCAAATCTTGTCTTGCCTTCCTCATGTTCAAGTCCCAACCTCCTTACAACACCGTCACCTCAATTTCTAATCTGACATCATCAGACTCAGAAAAGCTCGCAACAATCAATGATGCTTCTATGTTCACCGTGTTCCCAACTGGCAAAGAGGTAATTGTCCCTGTAAACTGTTCCTGCAAAACCACGGACTATTACCAGGCTGATACCAATTATACCTTGTCCACAACCCAAACTTATTTCGTAATAGCAAATGACACCTATGAGGGATTGGCCACTTGCGGTTCTCTCTTGCATTACAATCCATATGGGGCATTAGATTTGCATGCTGGCATGCAATTACATGTGCCTCTCCGATGTGCCTGTCCAACTCGGTCTCAAATCGCCAGTGGCATCAAGTATTTACTAACTTACCCGGTTGATTGGGGTGATAACGTATCTTCTCTTGCTACAAGATTCAAAGTGAGTTCAAGTTCTGTACTTGACGCTAATACGATTACCACACCCACTCTTTATCCATTCACAACTATTCTGATTCCCTTGCCCAGTGAACCTGAGAGCTCAACCACCATAGTTCACCCTGGTCGACCACCGACCTTTTCTCCTCCTGTTTCCCCTAACAAAAAAACCAAGTCAAAAAGGAAACTTTATGTTGCTGTTGCCGCCACAGGGGGGTTCGTGCTGGTTGTGTGCGTGGTTTTATTTTCTGTGTTTCTATTGAGGAAGAGATCGGCGACTTTCGTCGAGGGAGGTCAAATAAGGAAAACCAAATTTAAGTCTTCGGAAGAAATTCGTGATGAGATTGCAAGCATTGAGCATGTTTCTAAAGAGTACAAATTTCAGGAGATAAAGGAAGCGACCGAGAATTTCAGTTCAAAGAATAGAATTGGTGGCTCTGTGTATCGGGGATTGTTTGGCCAGGATATCTTGGCTGTCAAGAAAATGAGTACGGATGCGTCAAAGGAAGTGAATATGCTGAAGAAGATCAATCACTTCAACGTCATAAAGCTGCAAGGGTACTGTAAAAACGAAGGCTTCTTCTACCTTGTTTTCGAATACATGGAGAATGGCTCTCTCAGAGAGTGGCTAGGAAAAAACGTACCAATGGGGCATCAAAGTTGGGCCAAGAGGATCCAGATCGCTCTGGATATTGCCAACGGACTTCAATATCTTCACGACTTCACAGAACCTTGTTATGTTCACAAGGACATCAACACTAGCAACATTCTACTAAACAAGGACGCCAGGGCCAAGATTGCAAATTTTCGTCTTGCAAGAGAGTCGGAGGGGGATATAACGTTAACTTGCTCATCACAGGCGGTGGGAACTAGAGGCCACATGGCTCCAGAGTACCTAGAAGCAGGATTGGTTAGTCCCAAAATGGACGTGTACGCCTTTGGAGTTGTGTTACTGGAACTGATCACAGGGAAAGATTCTATCATTGTACAAGCTAGAAGTGAAGTAATGCTTTCTACGGTCATAGGATCTGTCGTGGCAAAGGACGATGCAGAAGCCGATCTTAGTTCGTTCATTGATCCTAGCCTTCGGGGAAGCAGTGGGAAAGCATGTGTCATTGAGCTAGCTGAAATAAGTGTGGCCTGCTTAGTCCAAGAACCAGCAAGGAGACCAAGCATGGCAGACATAGTTTCTAGCTTATTAAGGATACAGACGAATGTGCCTCCAAGAATATCTCCCACCATAAATAGCAACAGTCCACGCATGGGAAGGTAAAATGACTGAGAGCTTCACCTAGCTGATTCTGTTAGCACTTTTGCTTTAGGAGCTATTGTGCAAAGTACAGAGCGTTGTCCCAAAGAAATGGATTCAGATAGCGTTGTAGTTGATTTCTTCCAACAAGGAACAGAGTAGTAATTGTTAATTGCTGTAACAAAGAAAATTGTACAATCTGTAAGCAGAGTTTCTGGATGAATCCTTTCTTAGTACAATACATCTCCAAAAGCTTATGGTGACGAAACGTCAGAGAAGTTTGTCGTGAGAACTGAGAAGCCACGGCAGACGGCTACTCCTGCCACTCTCACCCCCTTCTTGTATATCATACTTGCTGTGGATAACATTTAATTTTACATGAGATTTCATAAAATATCTTTTCAATCATTTAATTCTAACACAGTTTTATTAATCTATGAAAAATATTAATATTAAAATTTTAAATATTGATAGAATATTATTAAATACAGACATATTGACAATATTTTTTTAAAAAATAACTTGACTCAAAAAAAGATGATTTAAGGCTAATGCTGTTAGGGTTCTAGACTAAAAATAGAACTAGTTTCAATACCTGTTATTTTGATGAGCACTCAAAGCTTGTACCGTTTATATATGATTTGAACAATCCATATTTAAAATATTTAATTAATTATTTTTAAATAATTTTTTTTTGAAAGAATGATAACTAAGAGATTATCATTATTTTAGATTCTATACATATTAAAATAATTATTTTGAATAAATAAAAGTAAAAAAGAAATAAAATTTGAACCATCCAAATGAGATATGAATGATTTAGATATGATGAGTTTAGAGTGCTCATTAAAAGGATAAGCATCGCTTCCACTAAAAATAAGACGGCACATTCCATGCTCATCACAATAATGAGCATGGAGCATTTATTGCAATTTGGATCATCCAGATTGATTTTAGATGTTCAGATTAAATTTAAATTTTTTTATATACTTTAATCAATTTATTATTTTAATAGATACAGAATATAAAATAAATATAATATCATAATTAACATACTCCTCCGGTCCTAATTATAAGACCCAATTGACTTATTTGAGGAGATTAAGGAAGTAAGTTAAGTTGGTTATTTATAATAAATAAGTGTTGTCATTCCTAAAATATCCTTGCTAATTAAGTATATTGGCTAAAACTATCATTATTAGAAGGATTATCTTAAAAAAAATACATAAATATAAGAGACAAAATGGATTGGGGTCTTATAATTAGGACCAAATAAAAAGTCAAATGGGGTCTTATAATAAGGACCGGAGGAGTATTAGATTTTAGAATAAATATAATATCCTTAAAAAATAAATTTATTATTGAAAAAAATTATATATTTAAAATTTTAAATCTGAACTAGATTTTAAATGGTTTAGATTATATTTCAGTGATCAGTATATGGTAGCTGTGATGAGCACAGAACCCCTGAAAATAGTTTACAAAATTAAAAAATTAAAGTAAATTCTGCGAATCAAGAAAAATGCTTAACCCCGCTGAGGTAAATTCTGTTATATCTTCCTGCCTCCGCAGGGCCCCCGTTTCTTGGAGGGAGCAAGCTACTCTTCGTTTCAGTTGAGCCTAACATCATTCTGGATTCTAATAGTATCCCGTCCTACCAATTCTCTTTACTAAGTGACTTTTGTCTTCAATGTTCGACAACAACAGCAACGTAGCGATCTCTGTTTTGGACGAGGAATCGGACGACCATGGTCGGATGCGGGCCCGTGCACGACGGAAGCGTAAGAAACTCCTGCACAGAGGCGAGAACGGGTTCGCTCTACGACTGCTCAGGAAGCTACTGAAATACTGGATGCTGCTCATCATTATTCCAGTTGTGGGTTTCCTAGTATTCGAGGCTTTCATAATAGGCACGAAACCTAGCTTGATGGTGAGCTCCCAGCGTGGTACGCCGAATGAACCGTCTCAATTTAGCTTGGAATTTAACAAAGTTGATCAAGCTACACCCACATTGGGGAAAGATCCGAAGAGCAATTTGAATCGGCTTGATCCTACTACACGTGTTATTGGCGGTGTCCGACAGCGTAAGTCGAGAAGTTTTCTGCCCCACCCCCCGGGGGGAATGAGACTCTGCTCTTCTTTCTTTTTCCCGTTTTGGTTTAAATGGACTGGATTATACTCGTCATTGTCAATTTCTGGACTTCGGTTACCGTTAAAGTCTGATTCTTGCATCTTGGAACCACTGATTTTTCTTGTATGTTATCCTGCCAAGCTTATCTTAAAGTAACTAATTTTAGATTTTAGTCTATCAATTATGGGCTGTTCAATGAAGTTCGTGATCTCACGCTGAAACTTTCAGCGGATTTGCACTCGAGTTACACTTTAGTCTAACTTCTATGAATATAACTACAAGAGTCCTTGATATATCTGCTTAAGCAGCCTTTTGGCATTGTTTGTTAATCTGTTAACAATTCCCATCCAAGGTTTGAATCTTTATTTAGGCTCTGAGGAGCTGTTACCCCTCCAAAAAAGAGTTCTGTCCATGTCAGTGTGCTGGGCAAATGTGCCAAACATTTTAATTATCATTTTTTTTTGCAGCGGTTATATAGATTTAGTTTTGTATGAGTGTTGAGTTGCAGTTGTGTTTGTGGTATAGGTTGTGACGGTTTTAGCCATTTCTGGTCACATGTACCAAACACCAGTGTCAACTCCTGATGCACTTCTCTTGTGCTGTAATGCTGGGGATTTCATATCACCTTGCATTAACAGAGTGATGCAGTTGTGACTAAAATACTATCCTTGGTCCGTATCAGTGTCCAATTGTCTTAGCATTTCTGCTTATGATATGCTTCTTGTCACTTTACATATATGAATTTCTACAGTTTTGCTCAATAGCTTCTAATGCTACAGTAGTTGGGTGAAGCTTCTTTAAACAGGAAGTGAAGTGTGATATTTTATAACCAGACCCATTGAATCTGAACTGCCTCCTTTTTACTGGTTCCGACAAGTCAGTGTCATCTGAACGGTTCAATATGCATTTGACCCTGGCCGTCTCTGTGCTTCTTTCTCTAGTCATCATTCCTTTCCCATTATCCCCAAATGGTTCAAGATTCATTTGTATTAAGATGTGTTAGGCTTTCAAAGGAGCACCTTACATGACACGTTAATTGACCCTATCAGGTTGCTTGAAGCTCCTACCACCTGAAGAACTCGAACATTTGGATATTCCTGCGGGAAAAGAATCCAGAGGCCCTGTTAAGAAAGTTTTATACATATCAGAGAGTGACACATCTTTTGCAGGAGGGAATACTGCCTTGTCTCAACAGCATCCAGAAGTTACAAGATTTAATTTATTTACTGGAAATCAAACACTTCATGAAAGGGAGAGTAGTTTTGAGGTAATCAACTGTTGCTCAGTATTTTGATGGTGTGGGATAATTAATCTAAGACATAACATGGATTCTCCTTGGATTTTCCCCCTTTCTTGAAAAAGAAAGATGAGTCTACACTTTAGCTACTTTCACTACTTTATATGTTTGGCTTTAGTTATTTACCCTCTGCTTCTACATATAGGTGAAAGAAACGATGATGTTACATTGTGGGTTCTACAGTTCAGCTGGAGGGTTTAAGATAACTGATAAAGATCAAAGTTACATGAATGCTTGCAAAGCTGTAGTGTCTACTTGTGCATTTGGTGGTGGAGATGATCTATATCAGCCCATTGGTATGTCAGGTGCATCACTTAAAAAGGTTAGTTATGTACTACAAGAGTTTATTACTTGTAACGTTAAATAGTAAAAAAAAAAATCTTATCTTCCAAATCTATTTAGTGGCATGCAGGTCTGCTATGTAGCATTCTGGGATGAAATCACTGTAAGAGCACAAGAATCAGTGGGCCACAGAATTGAAGAAAATGGATTTATTGGCAAATGGCGTGTTGTAGTTGTTAGGGATCTTCCTTTTTCTGATCAGAGATTGAATGGTAAAGTCCCCAAGGTATCATTATCATGATTTTGGCTACCTTCTTCTTCTTGTATATCATTTGTTATACTTGGGAAGCTTATTTAGGTTCAAATGCAAGTTGTGGTTTTATAGCTTTATTTCATTCTTGTCCCCCCTCTCCTTCTCATAAACTCCAGTTCTGCCATCATTATTATTTTTATTCTCTCCTAATACTTCCCTTCATTCACTTAATAAAATTTTATGTGCTGAGATATCTTTCAGATGCTAAGCCATCGCCTATTTCCTCAAGCTGAATACTCTATTTGGGTAGATTCCAAGTCCCAGTTCAGGAGGGACCCCTTGGGCGTGCTAGAAGCGCTTCTTTGGCGCTCAAATTCTGTAATTGCCATATCAGAGCATGGAGCTCGTGGCAGTGTCTATGATGAGGCTAGGGCTGTTGTCAAGAAAAACAAAGCCACACCAGAAGAAGTTGAAGTGCAAATAAATCAATACCACAAAGATGGGTTACCACAAGACAAGAGATTTAATGGCAGGAAAGGTATGTGCTGCTTTAGAATATTGTTTCATGAGCTAACATAAATTTAGGTAACATCTTGATTGCATTCTGTGTTATTGTTGTTGCTTCATATTATCATTATGATAGATCACGGCTCTCTGTAGCCCACTGAAATTGTGGTTTGCTAGTCAGAACATCTTGCTTTCACTATTTAAGTCATTAGTTCAAATTGGCAGTAATTAACCCGTTTAACCTGAGCATTGTTTTAAATTAAATTGAGATTTTGGAAATGCTCAAAATTGAGGCTTTATTCCACTAATTGCAATGATTGGATAGAAGGGGTTATTTAATGAGTTATTTAACTGAGATAATCTTTGCTAATCTACCCCAGAAACTATCATCTTTATTCAGTCAAAATAATCGAAATAAAAGCTGATCTTAACTGATTAAAATGTTTTTCAATTTTAACATGTTTTGTTCCATCACGGTGAATGAGTTTCTTTGGAATATGCATTACTGTCATGTTATCACTATATACCTTCATAGGTGTGGATATGCAAATTCTTAGTTTCTGTAACAGCTTGGGCATCCACATCACCTCACAAATCCTCAAGGCCAATGCTCTAAACTCAGCATTGACATTGCTTCTCACGCCTACTAGGTCATCAAGTTTCTTCATAAAAATGTATGGTAGCCTATAGTAGATCTTCCATCAACCACTGAGCCAGCCCAATGGGCTTTAGCATAAACTTCTAGACCTTGCACCCGCTTTTTCTTTAAAGAACAATCCTCTACCTGGTGGCATTTTCAGATGCCTCAAAATTTTATTCACTGCTTCCATGTGCTTCTCTTCTGGTTTACTCATAAATGAGCTCACCACACTTAGTGGAAAGCTAAGATCTGGCCAAGTATGTGAAAGGCATATTAGCTTTCCTATGAATCTCTGGTGTCTGCCTGAAAATAACATTGCATTGTTCAATGGATTTAATAGTCAAAGCTGATGATAGGGGACACATATTTGGCTAAGATGATATTTTCTAATTTACCCAATAAAATATCACCCTTATCAGTCAAAACAAATAACATAAAATCTGATCCTAACTAATTAAAATTATAATAGAGAGGATAACTTAATAATAAGTTAATTATGGAACCTATCTATTGGCCTATGTAGCGGGCGTTATTGGGCTGCCAACAGGGAATTATAAAGGGTTACATTTGTAGCCTACTTGTTAAGGTGAGGTTGATTGAGCACTGGTGGAAAGGTGCACAGAGATTCCATTAGGCATGCAGAGTAAAATCATGTAGTCAGAACTTCTGGAGATGCCTTATGGTGAGAACCTCCCCAGTGATATTATACGTGCAAAGGAAGCTGAGTTCTTAGTGGGGATATAAGGAGAGATGTCAGCAAGTTATTGTAAAACTAAATACGTTGGGATTCCCCCAGCCGGAAGGTATCTTACTCTTGAAAGCTCCTTAGTCCCAAGATCCAGGCATTAGTTGTAGTGCTTGGGAGATTGCAGAAGTGATACGTAATTGAATGATATAATCAGTTGAGTGTGGGAGCAGATGTTCCCAAGACCGCCTTAAGAGTTAAGAACAAGGTGCAGTCATGCTGAATTTAATGTAATTCAAGTTGACCAAGATTGCTGGGATTTAGCTTCACCTTTAATGACAGTTGTCTTGTATGCATGCATTCTTCCAATTTTGACTTAAGTGGTATATTTTTTTGAACGATATCTGTTAACAAGCTCCCATATCTGGCCAAAACTTGTTTTGTGCAGCTCTATCCGAGGCTTCTATTATCGTGAGGAAGCATACACCACTAACTAATCTGCTTATGTGCCTCTGGTTTAGTGAAGTGGTTCGGTTCACTTCTAGGGATCAGCTTAGTTTCCCATATGTTCTATGGCGGTTGAAAGCATTTCAAAACGTCAATATGTTTCCAGTTTGTACCCGCAAAGATCTTGTCAACAGCATGGGCCACTTGCGCAAGGTCAAGCCTTTGCAAAGTTGATTCTACGTAAATTGGAAGAGAAGCGATGCGTTGCTTCAATTATCAATTCGAAACCCGTTCTTAAGATTTCATTTCTTTGATTTCATTAGCCATATGAGTTAGATATTTGTATTGAACTAGATGTTACCCACTGCGGTAATGCAGGGGGAAGAGCATTCTTTTTTCTTTATTCTTCCTTTTTTGTTTTGGCGAAACATGTCTTCTTTAGGCTAATTGGATTTGTACAGTGTTATGAATTTAACTTACATATAAAAATTGAGTGGACGAGAGTAAAGGATTAAGCATAGAACTAAGATGCTTCCATTATTTATCTTTTTAATCTGTAAACAATAAAAAAAAAAAAACAAGTTGATGTGTGACATTGGTGAAACGTGACTGACTTCCTCAGCCTCCCTTCTCATCGTGAAAAAGAAAAAGTGTTGTGGTAAATAATAGGAATTGCCCACGAGTTTGTACATTTGTCTCGCCTCCTCCGTTGTTTACTGGTGCGAAGACAATATGAAAATCTCATATTTATGTAGGAACTGTGCTATGGCTTTGATTAGGCACTGGCGTAGATCGACGCAAGCCTAATTGCATCAATTTAGGGGTGGGAGGTATCATAACTAAAATCAAGATGTATAATAACAGTTTCTTTGTTTTCTTTCTTTTCTACTTCGTCCTTAATGATTCACGTAATGATTCTGAACTCTTCTCTCCCCCTCACCTCTTACCCTATTAATCAGTAGTTGGTTACTTATTGTTCGTAATGGGTCTATGCCAATTTTCACCATGCCTACATTTCAACTTCAATGCGCTTAGATTGTTTTGTGAATACCATTTAGATTTCTCATGCAAGCTGTATTTTCGTAAAAAAAAAAAATGCGAATAATGATTTCTAATTAAGAATGGGCATACATTTAATTTAATTACCACACTAATTTTTTTAATAGAAAACTTGTTTACCATGAAAAAAACATAATATATATATAATATTTACGGGACACGAACAACTTATCTCTATATGCAAAGCCATGGTTGCCAAATTCAAGTATTGATTAATTATTGATATTTTTTTGGTCAGGATATAAACGATAAAAATAACAAGCGAAGGGCGCGTGAGGTTTTTGTTTTGCGGTAAAATCAAAATGGCAACAGAGGTATAGAGTTCGTCTTGTATAGTAAAAGGAGTCAATAGCAGTTTTGTAAATACTCCTCTCCATCCTCTGTTTACTTCTTCTTCCTCAATTGGGATCTTTGAGATCGGATTCGGAAAGCTTACGATACGTAAGAAATGGCGAAATCCAGTGTCGACGATGCTGAACTCCGGCGAGCATGTGAAGCTGCAATAGAGGACCCCAAGGAGAAGGTCGTCACGTCGATCCGTGTTGCGAAGGGTCATGGGCTCTGGGGAAAGTCTGTCAAGCTAGGCCGTCAAATGGCCAAGCCTAGGGTTCTCGCTCTATCCAGTACGTAACTGTCCTCTTTCTGCAATTTTCAGCTTTGTTTCTCTAAATTAAATTCACCTATTGAGGTTGAATCTAAGACCATTTGGTGGCGTTTCAACTGAATTTCGGAATTTTGCATTAGATGAACGAACAAGACTAAAATGAATGTTCAGAATGCTTAATTTTCACTTCTTCCTTAAACTGCATTAGAACACTCGGGGCTAAACCCTTTAGGGCTCACCACGGAGACCAAATATGCCAGTCATTTTTAACTTAAACTTGTACTTTCTGTACAACAATCCATACTACTTATATCTGCCATATCTTTTTCTCGAAGTCTAAGGGAAACTTTTTAAATGGAATATCGTCTCTTGGTGATTGCTTTTCATCTCAGGTTCCTAAGGGATACCATATCCCTGAGCAAATGGCTTTAAAAATAATCCTTAATTAGCGTTTAAGTTACTTTGATAATCCAGTTATTATCTATAAATGTGGAATGATAATTACATCATCCAATAGCATTGTTAGAATACCACTACAATACTGTTTTATTGTGAGATATTGACTTGGACTTTAACTGGGTGGGAAAATATTTAGGTGTTTGAAGTTACCTTGCTATTTGTTAGGTACATGAGAACTTGTTGAATTCTTGTTTTTGGCATCCTATTAAGATCTTGCCATTTTGTGCAGTAAATTCTAAAGGTCAGAGAAAAACTGCTTTTCTTCGAGTCTTAAAGTATACAACAGGAGGTGTTCTTGAGGTGATAGTCTCCTATCCTCTCTTTGGAATGAACTTAATTTTTAGTGCCTGTGTGGTAGTGAATTGATGAGCCCTTTTCAGTTGTTTTCTCTTATTTATTTTTTGCTGGTTTTTCTTTGTTTTAGGAGGATACCAATGAATTCTCCTTTGTATTTTTTTTCTCTCCTAACAAAGATTCCTATCACCCTGGGGGAAAATTTTTCCCCATCTGTTCTCTTTGGAGCATCTCAAGAAAAATAACAATACAACAACAACAATCAGCTTATCCTGCTAGGTGGTGTTGGCTAATGGCTAAACTGATTGCGTGAAGCCACTGTGCTCTATCTCCAGGAAAATAACAATATCCCGGCTTATAAGCCGCTTTCTTTAGCCTTTTTTTTTTTAAAAAAAAAAAACCCTTTTCATGACCATACTGATAGTGGGTGCTCATCCCATGCTTGTTACCCCCTTAAAAATCAATATATATCCTGTTAATTTATCTTGGTTTTGCTTGAAGTACTGCATAGTTTTTATGGTTCCTTATTGGTGTTTAACTGTTTATTGTTAATGTTGTCAGAGTTATTTTATTTTAATATCTTCAATCATGTTACCATTAGCCCTCCTGCAATTGCGCCTACATGGGGGAACTACGAGAATGAATTGTAAATCTAATTATCATGTGAATGAGTCACAACTCACAAGTCATAACTCTAGTTATTACACCATACGTATTCATATGCTCCAAAACCTAAAGTTATGTCATTTTCTGTTTGTCAATGAATCATTCAATGTCTAAAATTAAATGATTAGGTACAAGCTAACCCCTCTATCTCAAGTGCTTTGTGCACGAAACATACTGACCTCAACAAACCTTTAATTTAACTTGTATATTCTGTTCATGGCGGGGATGGTAAACTGAACTTTGGTTGGCTGATACTTCAATATTGACGTCAGAAGAAACAAACTAGTTATGCTTCTCCTATCTTCATAGAAGAAACAAACAAACTAGAACTGGCTTAGTTGATACTGGACACTGCATGTTAACAATGCGGTCCTTTTTCCTGTGAATTTTCTCTGGTTAAAGATGCTATCCTGTTGTATTGTAAAATTGATTTCACCCCTCATTGCAGCCTGCAAAGATATACAAGCTTAGGCACCTTTCAAAAGTGGAAGTGATAGCCAATGATCCCAGTGGATGTACCTTCACACTGGTAATTGTTCATTCTTCCATACTATAGAAGAATTATTTTTGCTCTAAACTTATTATTCTCAGTTTGGCACTGAAATGATATGAGAGGCAGTTTTTTTTTTTTTTTTTTCATCTCCTGATTGGGAGTTGCTTTTTCTTGATACCTTTCTATATGATATTCTTTGTGTGACGAATGTACATCTTGTAGGGGTTTGATAACCTCAGAAACCAGAGCGTAGCTCCTCCTCAATGGACAATGCGCAATATAGATGACAGGTTATATTGTTGAGAGAACATGCTCAATTTAATTGTTGTCTTCCATATCAGTAGAGATTGTTGAATTATCTCTTTAAATTTCTTTTTTCTTTGTAGGAATCGTCTGCTGCTTAGCATCTTGAATATGTCAAAGGATCTTCTAGGCCACCTTCCTAAAGTTGTTGGTATTGATGTTGTGGAGTTGTCTCTCTGGGCGAAGGTACATGTGTTTGTCCTATTCAGTGTAAACTTACAATAAATATGTGCCTAGTTTTTATTAACGTATTATGTATGGTTCATCTCATCACTCCAAAGATATTGCCATTTAGTTTGTTGGGTTTTAAGTCATGATTGCAAGTTATTGTTGTGGATGTTGAGTTTTTTTTTTTTCCTTGCTAATAATTTCCTATAATTGTGAGATAGGCCAACGTACCTCCAGTTTCCACACAAAGGAGTCCACAAGGTGGTGCTCCCGTTGCATCTGCTGTGACACAGCCTGAAATGAAAGTTGCCGTTGAAAAGGAACTTGTCTCGCAAGCAGAGGAAGAGGACATGGAGACTCTTTTGGGAACGTAAGTTCTGTTCCTTGTCCTAAATTTTATTATAGAGCCAAATAGAAGAGACGAACATAATTTTTCATAATGGAGGAGACGGCTGCATTTCTGCCATTTCTTAGCAATGTGTAGTAATATACTCAAGAGTCCTGCTAGCCAGTCCCTATTTTATGGTTGATGCTGACAAGAGGATTCCAGAGATTAGTAACCAATACTGAACGCTAAACTTGTGACATATATGCTGAAAGAGTGTAATCAATTAGTGATGTTGGTCGAACACACTTGACATTCGGGTTTGTTCTTTTTTTTCCTTTTCACAGATGTGGATGGACACAACTAACTACTTAACATTCTTAAAATGTGCAGTTATGTTATTGGTAATGGTGAAGCAGAAGAATTTTCCGAAAGGTTGAAGAGAGAACTCCAGGCTCTTGAAGCAGCAAATGTGCATGCCATTTTAGAAAGCGAACCTATGATAGAAGAGGTATAATGAACAAAATAAATGGCCTTTGTTTTGCTGGTATATGTTCTTGTTTGTTGCATATCCCTGTATAGACATCCCTTCATTGATATGGTCAGTGGCAGCTAAGTTTTCTATCTGAGTTTAGAAGGATGGACTTCGCTTGGCCTTTATGTTGTATAAATTGTGCAATAAGCATTTTAAACACATTCGGCTGATTTTTGCTTGAGGCTAACCAATTTACCTGATTTTACCTACTACTTAAAGCTTCCAATTCATGCCAGTATCATGAGCAGAGAAAGCATTTCATTATTGTTCTGACCATTCGATCTGTTACTATGTGATTGGAAAATGATACTTCGTATCTGCACTATTGACTTTGACTTTGGCATGAGATTATCCAGTTAGCCTGATTTTAGCCCTTGTTTGAAGCTTCCAGTTAGTGCCGATACTTGAACTGAGACTGTTGCTTTGAACCATTAGAGCTGTCATTGTATGATAAAAAAAATATGATGATATGTTATACAAATTTTCAGGTTACTCATAACTAGCTTTTATAGAATTATTTGAACTTCTTGTCCTATTTGCGATTCTTTTATTGATGCCTTCAGGTGTTGCAAGGGCTTGACACAGCAATGAGTTGTGTGGAAGACATGGATGAATGGTTAGGCATCTTCAATGTGAAACTTCGGCACATGAGGGAGGATATTGAATCGGTAGGGGCTTGTGCATGTGAAGTTGGTTGTATACTTTGTCCACCAATGGTTGTTATGGCTGTGCCTCAGTATGTCATTGTTCATCTGTTTAGTTTTTTCACTTCCCCTGTTGAAAGCATGTTCATGAGTTAATTTTGTTGTCAGCAAAAGTCACCATTGTGACAATGCCTTTGGTGTTACTTCATTTGTTTTCTTGGTAGCTGACAGTGAATATTTTGATAAAATCATTTTTGCCACATTTGGTTCCAACAGAATCTTTAAAAATTAGAACACTAATAAAAGGAGTATAAAAAAATGTTACAAAAGGCTCCATATCTTGACACTGAATTATGTGCGCTTTTACTTGAAGATAATTTCCCTTTCAGTTACCATCGAAGGTGCCTTTGGTGAACCTTGGGTATGTCTTCGGAATTGTTTCTGTTGACTAGCTTTAGAGGGTTTGGCACTTTGGCAAGAGTGCTGCTCAATGAGAGGTTACGTTTATGATGATTGTTTATGGAAAACAGCAATTTTGTGATTAGTATGAAAGTTATTTCTGCCTTGAATGAGAATTCTCAGTTTTATTTATCTAAACTGTGCCTTGGATATTTTTCTGTTTGTGGAATGATCTCTTCTTGATTTGTCTCAGTACCTTATGTGATGTTTAGATAGAAACTCGCAATAACAATTTGGAAATGCAATCTGTGAATAACAAAGCTCTTATTGAGGAGCTTGATAAGCTTGTTGAGCGACTACGGGTCCCTTCTGAGGTATTCTTTAAGCGGGTGAATTGAATCCTTTTTTGAATTTAACTAACTTTGGTAATTATGTAAACGTTTTCATTGTGTAGTATGCAGCATGTCTGACCGGAGGTTCATTTGATGAGGCAAGAATGATTCAAAATGTTGAAGCATGTGAATGGTTGACTGGAGCCTTGCGTGGTCTTGAAGGGCCTTATCTGGATCCTGCTTATGCAAACATGAGAGCTGTATTTTCTCTTGCTTGCTTTTAGTTTCTCTCATAAAATTCAATTTTTGAAGTAGAATTTTAAATTTAATGACATGTATATGTAGTGTATCAAGTTAGAGTTAATAGTAGCAAGTAATCAGATGGGTCAAGATTACTGCAAAAACCATTCATGCAAAGATTAAAAAAAAAAAAAAAAAAGCTTGTTACACATCTTGTGGCGTTCTGTTCATTATCTAACCAGCGATTTGTGATATAATGATTATTAATCACTCCTGTCACCTTTCACCTGCAATTAGTCTTCAGAGAATTTTGGCATCCCAAGGCCAATAGATCGCTCCTGCTGTGTAGATACTTTTTATATGCATGGGACCTAATGTTATCTATTTTAATGGTGGTTCCTTACTTCCTTCTCCACCAGGTTAAAGAAAAGCGTGCAGAACTTGAAAAGTTAAAATCTACCTTTGTCAGGAGAGCTTCAGAGTTCTTAAGAAATTATTTTGCTAGTTTGGTGGATTTCATGATAAGCGATAAAAGTTATTTCTCTCAGGTACTTTTGATTTAAACTCCTAATAAAAGTATATTTTAAAGAGTCTTCGAAATTTAAGTACATCATGGCATGATTGCTTTAAACAGCGTGGACAATTGAAGAGGCCAGATCATGCAGACTTGCGGTACAAATGTAGGACATATGCACGACTTCTGCAGCATTTAAAGGTTAACAACATCTTGCATCTACATGTTTATTATTTTCTTTTCTTGGCTTTCTCTGACGTATACTGTGCACTTGCAGAGTCTGGATAAAAATTGCCTGGGCTCACTGAGGAAAGCTTATTGCAGTTCACTTAACTTGCTTCTTCGCAGGGAGGTCTGAGATTTCAAATTAGTCATACACCTTGTTGTTTGTCTCTTAATTATCTCTGGCTAAAGTTCTTGCTAGCAGCAAAAAGGAACATAAGATAATGTAACTCATAGGTTTAAGAATTCTTGTTGTAGGTTTTATGTGCGGATCTTTTGATTTGATGCTTCAGTAGAATAATATGTGTGCGTGTGTATAATGTTTGAATTGTTTGCTGTCTTCCACAGGCTCGTGAGTTTGCAAATGAGCTTCGTGCTAGCACTAAAGCATCAAGAAATCCAACTGTTTGGCTTGAAGGTTCGACAGGTTCTGGTCAGAATGTAAATGCTGCTGACACTTCTACAGTGTCTGAGGCTTATGCAAAGATGCTCACGATTTTTATTCCACTTCTGGTGGATGAGGTAACAGCCCTCATATTCATTGATCTTCAAAACATAGTTACTCTTATTGCATTTAATGTGTTTTTCATGTCTTGTACTGCAGAGCTCCTTCTTTGCACACTTTATGTGCTTTGAAGTTCCCACGCTAGTTCCTCCAGGTGGCATTGTAAATGGTAATAAAACTGGATATGATGATGATGCCAATGATGATGATCTCGGAATTATGGACATTGACGACAATGACAGCAAGCCAGGTACATGTGCCTCACTTTCTGCAAATATCCTTTCTTCACAGTGCATATAAAATATATTGTACTTTGATTTTCTCTGATACAATCATTTTTTCCACAATGTGACCATTTGCTTCATTTCGTAGGTAAAAGTTCTGTTGAGCTTGCAGCTTTAAATGAATCACTCCAGGATTTGCTCGATGGCATCCAAGTATGTGTAGTTGCTCTACCTTTTTGAGCTTCTTGTATTTGTGAAATAAAGTGTTCGCTTCTTCTGTTCTTGCATGATATTTTTGTCACCTAGAGGAATTTTTTTTTTTGGGGGGGGGGGGTTCATTTTCCAGCTGAAGTGTCGTCTTCTGTATCTCTCTGAACTGTTTTGCTGGCTATTAAAACAACTTAATTGCCATTGAGCTGATCCTTAAAAGGAAACTGTTAACAAGTTAACAGTCTGCATATGTATCCTACAGAGAAAACTTGGGAAGCAAGGGAACAGTGGAAGGTGACAGTTAGACCCATAACAGAATATAGCTTCTAGGATTCTGTAACTCTGGTATGCATGGTAACCTTTAAAGTGACGGCTAACAGGTGTTTAAAACACCAATGGAAGAAAACATTTAGTCTATCAGATGTCAATATCATTGATTTTCTTATAGACTCTGCATGGGCTGTTTCAAGCTATAGGGCAAATCTGATAAACATACTGCTTCTTATGGTTTAACACTTGTATGTAATTTTTGGCATGTTATTTGGCATATGATAAGTTCATAGATGTTACTGGTAGTAAGCTGCTTTATGTTATTGCAGGAAGACTTCTATGCTGTTGTGGATTGGGCATATAAGATTGATCCTCTGCGCTGCATATCAATGCATGGAATAACAGAGCGCTATCTCTCTGGTCAGAAAGCAGACGCAGCAGGATTTGTTCGCCTTCTTCTTGGTCACCTAGAGTCTAGGATATCCATGCAGTTCAGCCGTGTATGTGGCTAACACTATTAAAATTGCTATTGCGCCAAATCTATGCTGAAGCTAACCCAATTAAAGAAATCTTGCTGTAGTTTGTTGATGAAGCTTGCCATCAAATTGAAAGAAATGAACGCAATGTTCGCCAAATGGGGGTCTTATCGTATATTCCCAGGTGATTAGGATCCTTGGTTCTCTCTTTTTGTACCAAAAAGAATGCAAGTGCTTATGTATAATAGATTGGGCACTTGTCTGCATTCTTGTTGAGTTTCATAGAAAAATATAGACCTACAACAATATCCTCCCTAAATGCTGTGGAAGGATCTTATTACCATCATTTGAGCTCTTTCTTATAGATTATAGTACTTTCTGATCCTGGTCTTCTTCAAACTGCATTAGCTATTTCTACTAATTTCTAGTTTCCAAAGGAGTATGCTTTACCCGTGAAAATGATTTTTCAACTTTTTTCCCCCAACGAAGTGATATCATGCAATCACAGAAAAATAACCTCATATTCAAATGCAATGTTTTTACTTTGATTTTTTGTTTATCCAGTATTCTTTCAAACATGAATCTCTTAATATTTCTGTTAAGAAATCATTAATTCTCACCCCTGCTGTGATTAGTTTTCTTTTTTAGTTTAAACTCTGTACATTTTATGTCTACTTCTGCAGATCTCTAACTTTGCCTAGCTGGCCTCAGACCACGGTGCTTTGGTTTTTGACAGTTAAAGTTGTTATATTTACATCCATGTGCATCTGATATCCATCAAAACAAAATGCGTTTTGTTATTGAAATTGTTGTGAAATTCAAATTTTGCATGAGGAAGAAGTTACCATTAACTGTCTTGTTTGTTGTTAATATCTTAGTTTCTTGTAAGGATCAATATCATATGTTTTCGTAATTTTTTTGGCATAGATTTGCAACCCTTGCTACACGGATGGAACAGTACATTCAGTCTAGGGACTTGGTTGACCAGGCATACACAAATTTGTGAGTGATTCCCTTAAATAAGTGGTTTGTTCTCAACTATTTGCGGTTCATGATGGAGAGACATGAAATCTCACAGAGAACATTCTAGTTAAAGGCTTAAGCAAGACGCAAAACACTTTAGAGCAAGATAAAGTAAAACACTTGTTCCTGCCATTTCTTCTAGAGTGTTTTTGAAGCTACTTCACTTTGTCATACATGTGCCACCCCCACTCATGCAAACATATTTCTTTTAATTTTTGGGGGGGGGGGGGGGATCAGATTATGCAATGGGTGTGAGCGTCTTTCAAAATAAGAGTATATCATTGTGTAAAACAAAAAGATCTCTTAAGTTGAATTCTCAATAGTTTTTCTTTCAAAGGAAGTAATTTTCTCTATATTGCTGAATCACACTTATATCTCAATTAACTTGAGTTTCTTCAGTAATTTTATCTGCTCGGCATATTATTTTGCCAGTCCACTGGCTTTACAGCTCATAATTTCTTGCTGAATTTATCAATTACTGCTAGAAATAAGGAGTCATTTGTGAGTTTGGAATTAATAGCCTCGTAAAACCCGATGGGGCGGATGGGCCACTTCAATGGTCTAACGCTAGTAATAAGGAGTCATTTATTTTGAGTGTTTTTGAAGCTACTTCACTTTGTCATACATGTGCCACCCCCACTCATGCAAACATATTTCTTTTAATTTTTGGGGGGGGGGGGAATCAGATTATGCAATGGGTGTGAGCGTCTTTCAAAATAGAGTATATCATTGTGTAAAACAAAAAGATCTCTTAAGTTGAATTCTCAATAGTTTTTCTTTCAAAGGAAGTAATTTTCTCTATATTGCTGAATCACACTTATATCTCAATTAACTTGAGTTTCTTCAGTAATTTATCTGCTCGGCATATTTATTTTGCCAGTCCACTGGCTTTACAGCTCATAATTTCTTGCTGAATTTATCAATTACTGCTAGAAATAAGGAGTCATTTGTGAGTTTGGAATTAATAGCCTCCTAAAACCCGATGGGGCGGATGGGCCACTTCAATGGTCTAACGCTAGTAATAAGCTCATTTATTTTCCAGTGATGAACTCTTCCTTTTCATTTTACTTTTATTATTTGAATCTTTTGTTCTTGTTATCATGTTTTCCTGATTCAAGATGCAATAATCCATGTCAGTAAATTGTTTCTTGGTTTACATTTTGCCTCACAGGTTAGCATAATGTTCGCAACTTTGGAAAAAATTGCACAAACAGATCCAAAGTATGCAGATATATTTCTTTTAGAGAACTATGCGGCATTTCAAAATAGGTGAATGGCTATCTTTCCAATCTGCCAAGAGGAAGTTGTGTCTGTTCCTTCTTTTATGTTGATTTTGAAAGGAAGACACTGACTTCACATGCTCTGTTCATTCTGCTCAGTTGTATGATCTTGCCAATGTCGTTCCCACTTTGGCTAAGTTTACCATCAGGCCAGTGAAGCCTATGAACAAGCTTGCACACGCCATATTAGTATGATTATTTATTATGTAAGTGATTTCTTTCTTTTTCAGGTCATTTTGTCAAACACTAAAATACATATAGTATGTTGAACTCACTCAGTATCCTTTCTTTCTTCCTCTTTTTCCTTTGGAAAGCAATTTGAACGTCTCTTCCAGTTTGGCAAAAGGATTGAGGACTTGATGTTTACGGTTGCCTCCGAAGAGGTTAGTGATTATTGCTGTGTATAATTCTTTTGTGATATAAGCTTCCTCGATGCACCTTCTCAATGGATCTGGAATTCTAACTAAGACAACTGGTTCCTAGTTTTCACGTGGTGGAACCAAAGTCACATTACTATTTGGGACATTCAACTATGTTCGTGATTTCATAATATTCTCTTGGGGAGGATAAAGAATTTTCTTATATTGGTGTCTTCCTGAAAATACTAGAGGATCAAAGTGGTTGAGGATGTCTGCATGGGGTAGTAAATACTATATTCACGGGTATACAAAAATTTTTCAAAAAATTAACATGACTGAATTTCATCAACAACCTGGTTTTGATTAAAGTATCGTCTGTAGGGGTGCCACCACTTCAAGATACATGTAAAAGTAGCAAGAGTGATTAAAAGAATTAAAAAAAAAAACTAGATGAAGCATTCACTAGCTTGGTAAGCAAGCAAATCTAATGATGCTTGCACAATCTTTCATTGATAAACCTGCAGACCATGCAGGTTTGTGAATGGAAAGATTATACGAGAGAACATGCATGTAGATAATGTGTGCGCGCTTGCCCAAAAAAAAAAAAAAAAGATAATGCGTGTCTGTAGATGAATGATTTCTGATGTAGTTACCCCAAAATTATGACAGAAAGAGTTTCTCGACAAGTACGAAAATTTTGCCCAGCTTGTCGCTAAGATCTACCCTACAGAAACAATGCCAACTGTTGCTGAGATGAGGGACCTTTTGGCTTCCATGTAAAGTTTCCTGTTATTTTCTATTACATGAGGTGTAATCATTCTTTTTCCCGCCATGGTATGTAATTATATTTATTCAATCACTTGTATTAATGATTTGAAAGGGACCCCTTGCTGCTTCTTTTAACGCAAATTTGATGTGGTAGTCTCATTTGTTTTGATTGTGTTTTGCAACACATTATATTCAGAGCCACAAAGGTTAATCGTGTATAATTTATAATTTTTAAAAGAAAATAAAAGTAAAATTTGAGCTACTGATTCTGAAAATGCTACCTTCACGTGAAAGGGGCCAAGCAGCTTCAATCAGGAAATCCATGACCCTTTTTCTTCCCCAGGTGTCCAATAAGACCCCTCCAAAACATGAGAGGCAGGGCAGGTGTCCAGGAACATGTCTGCAGGAAAGATGGATATATTTTAGGGAGGATTAGCCAACGAGTGTTGAAGATTCAGAGCTCAGACGACATGAGTCTGCCTACGGGTTTTGAGTTTTGACCCCAGTTGAGGAATTTTCATTTTTCCCAGCAAGGCGGGGGTTCTTTTTCACCTCAACCGTCGTCACGAAGCGCAAGTGAGAAATCGGCCATCCATTGCGGCTTGCGCGTGTGCAACATTAGTCATCGAAGTATAAAAATTATAGGTCGCAATATTTATAAATTGTGAATGTGGATGGTAGCATTCGCATCAAATCCCATACAATGAACGGGAGAATGATCCTCGCCAGAACTCCCTTTCCATTCAATCCATATCTGCTGAACATTCTGACGGAATTTTTTTCCTGGTGAGTAGAAATTGAAGGAAACTGATAGTGGCAGAAACAGGAATTTGGCCGCGTTTGGCTCACCGAAGGTAAATTGTGAGAAAATCTTTTTAAAAAAGAAAAAGAGGAAAGAAAGGGAAAATTTAGAAAAATGTTTCGTTGATTATGAAAGTGAAAGATGTTTGACAGGAAAGATGATATTTCATTTGCATAAAAGGTAGAAAAGAAAGAAGAATATGACTGTACATTATCCAAAATTCCCTTCATCTAACAAAATCAGCAAATACTTTTGCTCAAAAAAAAAAAAACAAAATCAGCAAATACTATTCATTTTAAGTTTTTAACACTAAAATTGTAAAAATAATTGTTCTTTATTATCGAAATTGTTATTTTAAAAAAATAGGTGCATGGTAATTTTAGTTTTCGATGATAAAAATTAAAATGATAATGTTCATTTGACAAAAATCATTTTTTAATAAAAATTATTTAAATGATTAAAATATGAAAACAACCTAAATAAATTTCCCATTGGTATTATTGAAATAAATTGACAAAGATAACAGTTGGAAAAATTGTAAATAAAGACCTCCAAATATCTAAAATTATGATTTGAGACTCTCAATTTGAGAAATAACAAATAAGGACCCGGTCTTAAATTGCAAATATAAAATATTGGTGAAATGTTTGAAATACTCCTCAGCCAGATTGTGATTTAGTCTACTGAAATTATTATTCTCTAAAGTGAACTTATCATTTTTCATACTCAACTTGTTATTTGGTATTAGCCAAACTGTAATTTGATCTACTGAAGTTATCATTTGCTAGAGTGAACTTATTATTTCTCATAGTCAACTTGTCATTTGACTGAAAGGCATTTTAGACATTTCAACAAGATTTTATATTTGTAATTTGGGACCAGGTGCCTTGAAACTATTTTCTAAATTGAGAGTCTTAAATTATAATTTTATATATCTAGGGGTTTTTATTTGCAATTTTTTCAAGATACCTTTTCATTGGAAAACCGAAAAAAAGAAAAAAAGCCACAAAAAGATCACGCCGAAAGCTTCTCGTCTCGTCATTAACGCCTTCTTCTTCCTCTTCTTCCTTCTCATCCCACAAGCCTTAGAAGACATTGTTTATAATCTGTTCAGCGGCCTAGTACGCTGAGTTTCGTACTCTGCATTAACACTTCCTTGTTTTTATCGCCGGGCGGGAGTGTACCTGTAGCTGATCCCTTCTCCTTGCCCCGCGCTGCCGCCGCCTATTAAACCACTTCGATCCAATCCCGTATCCATCGTCTTCGATTGCTGGCTTTTCCAAATATTTTCTGATGAGTTGAAAGACAGCCGGCCTCCCCGAGATCCGTCTACATTCAGCTTCAGGTGCTTTTAATCCTAATCCCTTAATTTTATCTTCGGCTTTGCGTACAGGTTCTTTGTTTTGTTGCAGCTTGTCCGCAATGTTCTTAAATAGGATTTGTTTTTGCTCACTTAGGATGGCTAGTTGAAGGATTGAAGGCTGAGTATATTCTATACGTTTCGAATGGGAGACATTAAATTGAGAAGGCTGCGTCTAAAAATTTAGAAGGCTGAGTTTAAATTGTCATTCTTTAATGGCTTTGAGGAGTTTCCTGAACCAATTGGCTTACTAAGGCATCTTCGTCAAAGCTTCTGGAACAAAAATTAAGAGGATATTATATCAACTATTTATATTTGAAAGAGTCCGCCTATGGCTATGACCTTCTTGCTGTCTAATTCTTCAAGCTCAGTACTCGTATGCCCTTCTCTTTCTCAGTCAAAACTACTACACCG